ATTTATACTTTTCATCAAATTTATATAATTTTGTATGTTTTCAGTTAAATGGCTACAAGAAAAGACATTAAACTAAATAAGGCTGGTTAAGTAAATCTCTGCTGAAATGGCCCAATTTTAACATATTAAAAAAAAGTATGACAATTTTGCCCTCAGATTGAAGTCGCCGTATACACATAAACCCTAAAGGCCTAATCATCATAAATTCTAGATGATGTAGATTACAATTATGTAAATGATGAATCTAATTCTCATAACTTGCCTTAGTAATCATCCCAAAAGAATATTTAGATCAGATTCAAGTTAATCTAAGGCACACCAGATTTTTTGATCAATGAAAAATTTTGAAGTTCCTTATTATTTATTCACATTTTTAAGAATTACTAACAAAAGATGACAAATTTTGACTTATATTGTCATATGCAGGACTCATAATATACGGATGATGTTAAATGTTATAGTGATTTCTCTTCATACTGCCATTTTTTGATTTGTCTAATGTTTTGGTTACAAATGCATCAAATATCCAGTTGCATTGTAAAAAGACAATAGAAAATTATATAAAATCATACCCTTGGCCATAGTTTAGTGTTTCTTATACTTTTTATCAAGTATAATAAGCCGTTTGTGTACTATGTATAAAATGATAGAAAAGTCAATCTACTAGTTATGTTACTAATTATAATTCAAATATGTGATATTTGTTTTTGATATACGTGGGTAAATATCGTTGCAGGTCTCGAGATCACGACATTTAATGGAAAACAAGAACACAATTGTACGAACAAGGTTTTGCTGATGAGATATCTAATCAACATCATATAATAGTTTGCATACTTGATGACTTCTTTATAATGTTGCAAATCTGTTAATAATTTTAAATCATGATATCTGTTACATTGTAATATTGTATGTTATTAGTTTTTTATGATGATCAGTTATGCTAGTTTCTCTGAGATTATAGAAGGCACACAAGAAACATTTTGAAGTAGCTTTTTACACCACATGGTGGTATGTTAGGTTGTTTAGGGATTCCTTGTTGTTTGGCAGGAATCATTGTAAAAAGAAAGTTTTATCAAGGGCACAACATTAAGTGTGTATGTTGGTTGCAAAACTTGTTATTTCTTTGATGTAATTTGTTTGTTTTGTCTAGCTCATTGTTAGCTTAATAAAATCGATGGTTATGGAATATACTGTTAATGGCAACATTTAATGAGCTTTTACTTATAACAAAAAAGATAACAAAAGTTTTTATTTAATTATAAACTTAAAACACACACCCAAATTTTTACTTATGAAAACAAGTTCTATAAAATAAAATTAACTATATACACTACTCTTTTACAATATATATGGTTGATGTTGTGTCTACGAGTCTCTCATATAATGTACAATATTAGTTATTTCAATAACTGAAATCTAAAACATGAAAGCTTAAATAGTAGATATTTAATCTTGAATCCAGTTAAAAGAAATGAAACAAAAGAAGATTATATAAATGCTTTCATTGAGATATTTGGATCTAATAAGTAGGGTTGGTGTATGGTTAATCTTAAAAACTCTTTCTATATTGCTTCAACAAAATTCATAAATTTCTTGTATGTATTACTTAGACTACTCTCATCCGTGATAATTTGGATAGTTGGTCAGACAAAAAGCAAAAAAAAAAAAAAATCAATTATAACAACCGACTGGTTTGATTGAACAACTCACTAGTTGGTAACTTATATCAACACACATGTCATACATATATCACTTCTTTAGATTTTTTTTGGATAAAAAGTATTATGAATGTAAAATATTTTTATTGAGTTTTGTATTTAAAATAAAAAATTTATTTATTTCGAACTAAATAAATTATTTTTAATTTTTCTAATAAATTTTAGTAGAATAAAAAATAATCTTAAAGTATATTTATTTAATAAAAAAAATTTATTTGAGTTGGGTTGGTAATGGATGTAAAAAGTTAGGTTTAATTGAGTTGTGTAGGTGGAAGAAAGAAAAATTAATTTTTTAATAGATAGTTGGGTTGGTTTTGGTTGTGAATGTGAATAGTCTTATATTTAAATTTTGATGTGCTTCTTAGATCGAGAAAGTCACATTAGCTACGCCAGACAAAACAAACTTTCTTTGTTTTACTATTTTTTGATTGACCGGATCGGTCACTCCTCAACCAACTAAGACATTTCTGAGCAGTTCCCCTCACCTCTTACTCACTGAGTTAGGGTTTTCTCTCTTGTCGAAATGCTAGTTTCATATTAGACTTTCAAGCTGCGGCTACCCGGGTTTTCTTTATATAGCTATCCCGCAACTAATCCTAAAACAGCTTCTGTAGATATAGGATAAATAGAAGATAGAGTGAAAAAAGTCTTTATTTCTGTACCATCTCTCTACAGATTGACTTGAGATAAAGAAGAAAGAGAAAGACTTTCTTCGACAACTCCTTTATATTGATATAGATAGGACATTCAAAAAATCTAAAACTAAAAAGCCAAACTAAAATCTTTGGCTTTCTAGTTCGCTTACAACACACCTGATTTGCCACAAACAGTCAACCAAAAAACCAAAACTTTTGGCATTTAATATTTCAGGATGATGTTTTAATATAAACTTTAGACTTTAGAGTTAATATAACACTTATTTTAGAAATTGTTAATTTTGATTAACAATCGTCATTTTAAAACACAATTGCCATTTGCTATTTATAATTGTTTGGTGTTATTCATGTATGTGTAAAATTGTTACATTCTTGTGTTCTTTATTTTCTTCACATCTTTAAAATGTGCGTTTTGTCGAAGTTTTTATTCCTAACATAACACCCCCGGATGGAGATATAACTGAATGTGAGAGAGATAAAATATTTAAAAGAGTTTTAGTCAACTGTAAACCCAGCCAGTTAAAAATAGAAAATGAGCTATAAATAATGAGTCATGTTGTGTGAGGTATCAATTTTTTCTAGAAATCGATAGCAAAAGAATATGTTCCTCCTCAACGTTTAGCATAGGATCTCAATAATAATCATATCCTTCTTGAATTTTATTGTATTGCAGAATATTATATATATACAATATATCAAATCTTTGAAATGAATTAATATTACAACAATGCCCTTCGTATAGTCCTTGCAGCAACACGAGAAACCAACTTACCAAACAGATCAAGTGGAAGACGAATCAACTGTTGTTGCAAGTCTGTAGGAAGCTGTCAAATATTTTCTTTTTTACATTATTTACCTTCATCAAAAAAAAAAAAAAATGAATATGAAATGTTTTCTTTTATACATTCTTACCTCAGGAATTACATTAAGCAGTGGAAGTATGTCTTGAATAGATGCAACCTCGTTCAGGGCTAAATACACCTCCTCTGATTTTATTCTTTTGTTAGTATAGGGACTGAAATCGCCAACTCCCTATAATATGTGGTAAAGAAATGTAAATATGTTGCTGTTAAGTGTATACACACACAAAAGGTGTTCGCATCTTACATCTTCAATCTTTTGAGATCCTGATAATAAGTGAAGAAGGCGAAGCAAGTTTCTCAAGTTTATCATATCTTCATCACTTATTGAAGATTGAGGGGAAGGGCCAAATGGTAAATTTGCACTTGCTGCATATGTCAAAGATTCAAAAGTCGCCAACCCAAGTGCATCCAAACCCTGTTGTTATTTATAAAATTTTCATCTTTTTAATTTATAAAAAAAAAAAAAAACATATATACATAAAAATAACCAAAAGTATATATATATACCTTGGCAAATTCTTGAAGAAGTATTTCCCTCACAAATGCACCCTGAACAAATAAATTTTAATAAAAAGATATGGAAATAATATCTTAATATATTTCCTTTACCTTTTCAGTTAATGTGAATGATAAGATCTGCTTGATGACCACATTTGAATTGTTGTCTTCTACTTTGACCAAAGCTCTCTCTGTTCTAGCTCGAAGGGACTAAAAATGAAAATATTGCAATTTTAGATTTTTCAAATTAATAAAGAATTAGGAGAAACTCAAAAAATTGCATATTATACTTCGGATAGAAGAGACTCCAAACGATCAATCCTGAACACCCCTTCCTGATAATATCATCAAAATGAAATGAAAATTAAAAACATGCAAAATAGAAAATGGAAAATGTAATAATATATTTTTAATTTACCTCATAAAGAAGAGCTTGTAAAGAAGACCTAAGTTGTGGTGAAGTATCAGTTAGGACTTTTCTTGCAATCCAAGGGTAGGTCCCACCGAGAACTTTATAATTCGGGTCATTGTTGATTGCAATACCTTCTAGAACTGCCAGGCTGGCACATTAAACAAAAGGGTTTTTCAGGAAAATTACAATATCAGCAAAAAAAAAAACATCATGTGTAATGATGAGAGTAATACTGTACCTTCTAATAACAAGAGAAAAGTACGAAGGGATCTGAAATTTGAACTTGTACCTGAAAACATTATAAATAAAACAATGCATAAAGAAATCGTTTGAATAATGTTTTCAAAATCTTAAAAAAAAAAAAAGGATTTATGAATGCATCTTCTTACATTGTGGTTCCAAGGTTTCCTGAAAGATCCCCAAAGCTAATATTTTGGACTCCTTTGGAAACAGCATTCTGAAAAACCCCTACCCAGAAAAATACAAAATTTAGTAACACAAAATAATAATAATAATAAATTTATTTAACTAAACGTTTATAATTATGTAGAGAGGTGAAATAACTAAACCTGTTAAAGCCTTTGTGACTTCATCCTTGTCAGCAGTTGCAGGAAGCAACCTGAAAAGTGAAATAATTCATCATATAACAACTCATAGTCATACATAAACTTTTTAGCCTTTATTTAATGCTAAAAAGAAAATGTTCATAGTATAATTAGTATTAGTACCCAAGGGTAACAAAGTCTTTTGCCAATGCATCATAATCCTTATTTACTAGATGAAGGCAAGCTTGAATGAACCCATCACGAAGCTCTTGCTTGAATTCACCCATCATTCCAAAATCTAAGTTACAACAAATCAAGGAGTGACATATATTAAATAAATTACAGCAACCTTTATGGGGGTAAATAGGTAATTTTGAAGTACCTAAATATGCTAGTTTCCCATCATATGTACGAAGTAGGTTTCCAGGGTGTGGATCAGCATGATAGAATCCATATTCTAGAAGTTGATTAAATGAGCAATACACTCCTATCTGCATCAATGACAATAAAAAAATTACAATTTAGATATATATGATTAATTAGTTCGATAAAAAATAACAGAATTTTGTATAAGAACTTCACCTCCACTAGATAAAGATCCTTCACTTCAGATAGCTTTTGACCCTATATACGTCATTCTCAAATTAAATAAATATAATTATATAATAAAGAAAGAAAATATAAAATGGAATGAAGAAAGAAGAAAGAAGAAAGAATTACCTCTACCCATTGCATAGTGAGAACCTTACGAGTTGTATTATCTACATACATAGCTGGAACCAAAACATCCTTTAGATTTCCATATAGCTCTCTGGTTGAATGAATACAAATATATTATTTTTTATGATTATGATTATGATGTCATCATAATTATATGTAACAAAAAGGTGAAATAGTATCTCTATTCTCTCACCTGAACCTAATTCCATTTTTTGCTTCATTAACGTAATCCATCTCCTGCATTCAATGTGATTACCTGTATTCAATATTAGAGCACTAAGAATTTATATAGAAAGACTTTATTTTTTAAGAACAAAATACGGGAGTTTAGTGTTTCAATACCCGAAAGAGGCTTGATGCCCATTCATCAACAACAGCCTGTAGATCAAGAATCGTATTGAGAATCAAATGAATTTAAGAAAAAAATAAAAGAAATTTTTTTTTTTACCTGAAGATCAGTATTGAACTTCCCTACTCTTCGAATCAAACCTGCAAGATAACGTAGGATCAATATGTCTAATGAAATGGCAGCTTGAACTCCAGGCCTTTGCACTTTGACTGCAACTATCTCACCACTTGACCGGAGTTTAGCTTGGTAGACCTGAATGAAAAGATCAAAACAAGGAACTTTTTTAGGGTTTTGAATTTTGATCATAAGAGAAAGAAATTAGGGCAAATGCGATTATGAGAATTAATGGAGAAATGACCTGGCCAAGGGATGCTGCAGCCACAGGTTCTGGTGAGATCTCGGAGAAGATTTGATCCAGTGGTGACCCAAGTTCTTTTTCAATCGTGTTAAATGCAACTTCAGTTGAAAATGGTGAAATTCGGTCTTGTAATAATGAAAGCTCGTTGAGATATGATGGTGGTATTAGATCCTATAAGGAATTTACAACTCAAAACATGCATTTGAGTTGACAAAAATAGCATAAAATTAAAAATAGAGTGAACTTACAGGTCGAGATGAGATGGCCTGAGCAATTTTTATGTATGCCTGAGAGAGAATTTGCGAAAGAGAAAGAGAATGAGAGTAGATTAGTTGATACTTATTTTACATGTTTGAGGACATTAATCTGAATTGCATGTTTCTTTATGGATTATTCAAATTGCTTTTTCAAAAGAAGTTGAAGTTGAGTTCATAATTCAAATCGTACCGGTCCAAGCTTCACCAGTATTTGGCGCAACTGCGAAGCTCTAACCTGAATTCAAATAAAACAGATCGAAATTAAGAAATTTGATCGAATTATAACGCATATGTTTGATGAAATTCATCGATTCTATTATCTAGTTATGTAAAGTTAATAGCTTTATGAATATATAGGCACTCTGACCTCAAACATCAAGTCGGAACGCTCCAAAATGCTATCAAGGTATCTGAATGCGAGCCATTTGCCGAGTGTGTTGCCGATTTGAAGAAGTCTCCGGAGAACTATCAGAGGTTTTTTCCGATAAATTGAAGCGATTTTGGAGATGTTGTAATCCGTCAAGGATTCAGCCTCCGACGAGCTGAGTTCAAATAGATAGCCAGAAGACTCCGTAAAGGCATCCACGTCACGGACTACGACGGAAGCAGCTGTTCGTGGAAGAAGAAGATTTGTTTTCCGATTAAAATATACTGTTGTTTGCCGTACGCGGTGGCGCGTGGTAGAAAAAAGCGGCGGTGGAAGTGGCGCCGGTGTTAATATCATGGTTCTCTGGCTCGTATTTCTGTGAACGTTAGCCTCTCTTTTTATCTAATTTATCCTATTTTTAATTTATGATTTTTTTCTCATAGAAGCCCTTGTACTTTTTCCAAAGTTTCATTTTTTACCCACCATGTTTTATGTTTTGAGATAAAGCACAAAAGTGATTGCTGATTCAATTGCTTATCCGTTTATAGATCAAACCCACTCCTAGGCTATCACCATTCACCAACACACATACAAGCGCCACTCTGCAACAAACATTCCGGCAAGATGATGGTAAAATTGGGAGGAACTGCAAGAATCCTAACCCTTTCCTTATCTTCAACCTCCACCACTCGTCTCTCTTTCTCTTTCCTCTCTTTCCCTAAAATCCACCGTCCTCGTAGGGTTTATCAAGGGTTTAGGGGCCTCTCCACCACCACCGCCGCCGCCACCACCACCACCCCCTTCACAGACGAACCATCATTAGAATCATCCAAACACTCTATCCTCCTCGAACGCCTCAGAATCAGACACCTCAAAGATTCAGTAGGTAACACTTACAAAACCAATAATAAAAAGCCACAATCGATACCGTTTCAGGAGAGCGAGATCGATGATGGATCTTCGAAGCATTTTAAGAACAAGAAGGAAGAAGAAGTTTCGTTTTCGGAATTGGGGTTGAGCGAAGAGGTTTTAGCTGCGTTAACGGAAATGGGTATTACAGCACCAACTGAGATTCAAAGTTTGGGGATTCCCGCTGTGCTTGATGAAAAAAGCGTGGTTTTAGGGTCTCATACTGGTTCAGGGAAGACACTTGCTTACTTGTTGCCTCTTGTTCAGGTTTTAATTCTATCTCTTGCTTTAATTTGAATCAGTAAACTCTCAATGATACAAGATTTATACACTTACACTTGTTCTTTTCTTTCCTTTTTTCGTTTCTGAAGTTGTTAAGACAAGATGAGGCATTGAATGGCATGGTGATGAAGCCCAGGCGTCCACGTGCCATTGTCCTCTGTCCAACAAGGGAGTTATGTGAACAGGTTAACAATGATACTTTTTCCATTTCATCTGTATTAAGTTTTTCATATTGTTTTGAAATTTGAACTCAGATGAAGGTTGAAGGTTGAATGTTGCAGGTATTTGGTGTTGCAAAGTCAATTAGTCATCATGCTCGATTCAGGGCAACAATGGTTAGTGGTGGTGGTCGTTTAAGACCCCAAGAAGATGCACTGAATGCACCAATCGACATGGTGGTAGGGACACCTGGCAGGGTTCTTCAACATATTGAAGATGGAAACTTAGTCTATGGTGATATCAGATATCTGGTAAGAAGCCCATGTTTTTCAAATGCATATAAAAATGGTTTAAATGATTGAAAGTACAATGTTGTATATGTTATGTTTTCAGGTGTTGGATGAAGCAGACACCATGTTTGACAGAGGATTTGGTCCAGACATCCGGAAGTTTCTAGGCCCATTGAAAAACCGTGCATTAAAAGCAGATGGTTTAGGGTTTCAAACTATTTTGGTGACTGCAACAATGACAAATGTATGCTAATAAGTGATATTAAGTTGTTCTTTATGCATCAAGTCAAAAAAAAAAAAAAAAAAAACACTCGTATATAGCTTACTAAATTATATCATGATTTTTGCAGGGTGTACAGAAGTTAGTTGATGAGGAGTTTGAAGGAATCGAACATCTTCGCACTTCATCTCTTCATAAAAAGATTGCTTCTGCTCGACATGATTTTATCAAGCTTTCAGGTGCAGAGAATAAATTGGAAGCATTGCTACAGGTTGTTACATTCTTTTTTTCAACAATTTTATTGGGAAATTTGAATTGTTTCTGAAATAATAATAATGTTTATGTAGGTTCTTGAGCCAAGTTTAGCAAAAGGAAATAGAGTGATGGTGTTTTGTAACACATTGAATTCAAGCCGAGCAGTTGACCATTTCCTTGGTGAAAACCAACTCGCTACTGTTAACTATCATGGCGAGGTTCCCGCTGTCGAAAGGTGAGATTTGATTATTTTAGTGAAATGTCGAAAATACCCTTCCATCATTGAATTCCATGTCTAAGGACTAAGAATGTAATTTTACTTATGAACCAGGGTTGAAAACCTCAAAAAGTTCAAAAGTAATGATGGAGATTGCCCCACACTCGTTTGTACAGATTTAGCAGCTCGGGGTTTGGATTTGGATGTTGATCATGTTATCATGTTTGATTTCCCCAAAAACTCTGTAAGTATTTTCAGCTGTAGGGGTAAATTTGTCGTATTCACATCATAATTTTTTTTTTTTAATTCGTGTTTTAGATTGACTACCTTCATAGGACTGGAAGAACCGCTCGCATGGGTGCCAAAGGTAAATTTCATCAATTTTTTTCTTGGTAAATTACCTATCTGACCTTGTTGTAATTTTCATAACATGTCACGTTTTTTTTTTTTTTTAAGGAAAAGTGACGAGTCTAATTACAAAAAAGGACATGACTCTAGCAGACCGTGTGGAAGAGGCCATGAGGAAAAACGAGAGCTTAGAGTCTCTCACTGTAGACAACGTCCGAAGAGACAATAGCAGCAGACCAAAACTACAACACAACAAATCAAAAGCCTCAAAACCAATCAAAATCTCCGATCAAAAAACCAACAAAAACTTCAGAAGCTCAGTGGGACCCACATCCAGTAAAGTCACCCCCTTTTCCAAATCCAAACCACCTGTTAAAAGAGGTCCCAAATCCTCTGCTAAAGTAGCCTCCTTCTCAAAATCCAAGAAACCCACGGGTCATGCTTCTGGTTCTACCGGGCCCACAAAAATTTCAAAACCTAAAACACCGATTGTGAAAATTGGCGGGAAAACAAAAAGTAGTAGTAGCCAAAAAGGCGGCGGTGTTGGGAAATCGACGTCGAAGCTGAATGTTGTTGGGTTTAGGGGAAGAAGCTCTTCATCGGGTTCAGTTAGGGCTAGTTAGTTGATCCACTCACTAATAATACGGGTATGCTGCTATATTTATTCAAATACAGGATGATTCTGTATATTGATAACAACCAAAACGATAGTGAAATTTTGAATTGTAAACTAACTTGTTAAGAGGACATGAAGATAAAGATATACAAAATGAAGCGATTCTTATTGAATTATTATTGTTTATTTATTTCCAGGTAAGAGCAAGGAGTCTTGGTTTTGGAGGAACGACGTTTCCTTCAGAGTCGTAAATTATGACCCCTGAGAAATCTGGTAGTTGACACTTTCCACCCATGAGTATATTCTTTTGCCAAACGGATTCTTCTTCTTCTTCTTCTTCTTCATCTTCTTGATCTTGAAAGACATGGTTCATGCTTTCATTGTTGAGTTGTATAACAGGTTCTTCAAAATCATAACTGTAGCAAGCTTTCAAACGATGAACCCATTTTTTAGAATGACTAGCACACATGAACAAGGTCAATACACAAAAGAAGAAGACAGACCCAATGGCTAGGCTCACTTGTGGTGCACCGGTTAGAACATGGTTCGGAAGTGGTCGAGCCATTGGTTTGTTTTGTTTAGGGTTTATGGTTGATGTTGGGTGTTAAAGATTGTGCATGGGGATGTTGGGTTTTATAGTGATTTTGTGTTTTTGTTTAGGGTTATGAGGATTTGTTAAGGTTTTAATGTATGGGTATAGGTGGAAGACTATGAAGAGTGTAATGGTTAAGTTTTATGAATTAGGTGGCCTGTCTTGGAATAGGAATTTGCTATGGAGTAGGTGTTGACTTGTATGAGAACTTAAAGATCGTTATGGTGAATTCTAAAAATATATATAGATAAATTAACGTCATCTTTGGGTGTCTCAACTGATCCTTTAATTATTTGTTACTATTTGGTTATTTAAATTTAAAAAAAAATGAAAAAAGTACAAAAGAGAACCTTAAATTGATTAATCCGAAATATGTCGTTTCAAAATTGGTGTTCATTTTGCAAATCGATTGAGAGTTGGTAATTTCAGAATAAAATTTCATTATTGATGGTCACTGTTGTGAATGTCCTATAGTCACAATTTTTATCTAGTATTCGGGTGTTTGGATTTGATTTTGAAAAGACTAAACTGCACAAATGGTCCCTGTGGTTTGCTTAAAATTGCCACTTTGGTCCAAAAAGATTTGGACTTGCACCACAGGTATAAAGTTTTAATTTTGTTGCTAGTTTTGTCTAATTTACTTTGAACTTTTTCATGACGATTTTGCCATTACTTGTTTCTTTTTTAGTTTTTTTATTTATTTAAATATTTTTCTGTTTAAAAGAAAAAAATTGCATTTTCTATTTTTTA